AATATAAAGTGAAACTTTATTGCAAACTAAAATCAAATCGAGTGTTTACATATACTTAAAGGCTGTTCTTAGATCTAAGCACCAATACTGAAAAATATTTACACCATACTCACGTGCATTTGTGCATTACTTGACCATTATTTTGTGCATTACGAAAACACCAATTTGATATCGTTGGTAAATTGTTTGCAATCTAGTTCGAAATGGAGTGCGATTTTTGTTGTTTAGCACATACTTATATATCTGTTTTGTTGTTTAGCACATTTTAAATATCTCTCAATTGTATTAAATATTTTTTATATATTTAATTTTAATCTTCATTCATGTTTAAGCCTAATTCGAATTCATTTTAATGTTCTATATTACGCTTGATTTATTAATTATATTTTTAAAATTAGTTTCTGCTAATCGTTTTTACTCTAAATTGTATCATAAAAATAGCTTTACTAACACTAGTGAGCTTGTGACACTTGTTACGTAATACTAAAATTTTAAACATACAATACAAATTTTAGTGTTACTGAACATCGAAAACGGGGCAACTACTTTTCATCAAAAGTAGAGAAACAAAGGTTTTTTAGGTTTTTTAAAGACGCGTGTTTAAAGTATTCAGACTCCAATTATTAAAAAATATGCTTTGTAATTTCATAATTTTATTAATAAGAAAAAATAGTAAACAATTTGGATAAATAATAAAGAAAAATTTATGCAAATTATAAATTTACTATTCTTTTGAAATGCGATTAAAGTGTACGGGTGTATATTTCATACTCTACGTTTGAAAAGAAAGTGTACCGAATTTTCATAATTTTATAAATCCGAAAGAATAAGCAATAAGAAAAAAAATAATAAAAAACGTAAATCAGTTATGTATATTCCACCTCCCCCCCCCTTTCTAATAAAGAGTTGTTTTTTTTTATGTCCCTTGTCCTTGGGTACTACATTAAACCACTGTTCGTTTTAACTAAATTATCTAATCCATTATAAAAAAATTAAAAATAAAAATATAAGCGGTGCCTTCTTTCTTCTTTTAAAAACAAAATGAAGGTTGTAAAAAATGACCATATTTTATCTTTACTAACCCCTCTAGTTATTTACTTAGAGAATTTTTCATTATTTACTTTTAATTTTTTTTCCGAAATTTTCCAGAGCATACACAAGGTTACTTGTTTACTTCAAATAATCCTAGACCGGTCGTTACCCTTAAAACCCCCTCCTAGTTCCTTTTTACCGTGGGTAGGGAAAAACTCGCAATTTTTTTTTTCTTCACCCCATCTTTTAGGGCAGAGTAAAAAAAAAATATATTATCACCCCTTGTGCTATATATTTGAGGGAAAAGGGAAGGGTGCTATTTAGGGGTTTAGCATCCTTGGAAGGGGGTACTTGGAAGAAAATGTTTCGAAAGTAATGAAGTTCATTATTAATAAGATGTCTGGGTATTATCAAGACAGTTACCGCTCCTTTTTTTTTCTTTTAAAAGAAAAAAAGAATTTTTCGTGGTAAACAACTTGCCTCCTTTCTTGGCCTCCCTGCGTGTTTTCTTAAATTGCACTTTTCTATGGAAAATGTTGTGAAGATTGTCACGAAAAGAAAGATAAAAATGGCTTCAATTTTTGCTCTCGTTTTACAATGGATTGAGAATGGAAATAGTTTGATATTTTCTTTATAACACATTTATGACTGAAATGTCTTGTTTAGTTTTCTTTTTTTTTCCTTGTTTAAAATTTTAGCTGACAAATTTGAGGTAATTTTCACTCCTCGATTTCTGTTTAATACTCTCGACGTTGAATCGTGGTTTATCTTAAAATACCTGGCCGTTTAAAAAAAAGAAAAGAAAAAGGAACAAGTATTAAATATTAATTTTAATACAATGTTAGGAATTTTCAAAAATTATGGCATCATTAACAAAGAAAATAACTCTTAGATTTTATTATTCATTATGGGTTTTTTTCCCCTCACAATTTTCATGACGTTGAATAGAGGATAGTATCCTATCTATGTATCCTATCTTAGGATACATAGACGTAAAGAAAAAGAACAAAAATTTAAAAAAAACTTCATATGTTCAAGAAAAATTAAATGTTAATATTAGTACATGTTTGGCAGTTTTAGACATTTCGGAGTTATTAACAAAGAAAATAACGCTCATAGATATTAATATTTATGAGGGTTATTTTTTTTTTAGTGATTCTTACTAAGTTGAATAGAGACATAGACACTTAGACGCAGAAAAATAAGTAAGAATAAAAATAATATTAATGAAATATTAAACTCAGCTACCACCGGAGAAAAAAAAATTTCACAATAAGCGTAGAAAAATGGCAATTATGCTTTAAGATTAATTATTGCTTTGTGCAATATTTACGATACTGTCATATTTGATGTACCCATATGCATTACCAATAGCCGGTAACTTGTGTAAATCAGAACCTGACATTGTTCTACTTGTTGGCGAACTTTGCTTCATGGTACCAATAATTGCTGATTTTTTTAATAACGTTCATATTTTCATCTAAAAGATAATAAAGTTTGAGAATTTAAGTTGGTTATCAAAAGAAGATATGAAAAATTAATTATGAATAGTTGGTATTAAAAGGATTCAGTATTAGAGTTTAATAAATTTAAGCTCCTTGAAATTGAAATGCCGTTCGGATGTATAAGAATAAGCATATTTATGTTAAAAATCCATCAATGTTTCCATCAATGAAATTTGGTATTTTCGATATTCTACCAGAACCACATGTCTCCCGAATGTTTACAAACAACCCCTTGCCCACTTGTAAACTGTTTGGGAAAAAAAACACACAACCAAATCGGCTCTCCTGTTCTCCAGTTATATATATTATGCTACTTTTCATTTCAAGATATGCTGGCTCCTAAAAATTGACCCTTGTTCTTAAAGGTTTTGCATTTTTGTACCATAAACCATGCGCATAATTTAACAGAATTCCAGTTGAGTAATTAGAGACAAGAGTCAGGTTTTAATTTCATATTATACTTTAAGTATAGGCTTAAAATTAAAATTTGTTAATCGGCTTATTAATTCTAATGTTAAAAAAAAAAAAAATGTGGACTGGTTGTAATGAACACCTGAAGTGTCCAGGAATCCCAGTCACCGTGGCTCCTGAAAAATTGCAGTCGGTGTCCAATATTTAAGTGAAATTTAACACAAAAGCTTCCATAACATTCTGCCGTTTGAAAATTGGACCTAATTTCTGGATAGTTTGCATTTTTGAGGACTCCTATAATTTTGGAGATTTCTAACTTTCTCAATAGCCAGGTTTCTTATTTCGCTTTTTACTTTAAGAAAGTCTCATGATTAAAATTTGTTGGCTGGTTTCATGGACTATAATGCATTTTGCATAACTGCCCACAAAAGGAGAAAAAACATAAGCAGTTCGAGGGTATAAAATTTTTAATTCTTTTTTACATTTGATGCCTATTCCCATTACTATTTAATTCTCTAATTGGTTTGACAAGCCGTGATGGCTCAGGGGATAGAGCGTTCACCTTCCAATGAGACGAACCGGGTTCGACGTAAAATTTCCTCAGTGGTAGATGGATCAGGGGTTAGAGTCCAATCACGCTAACCGCGATATGTTCTCGTGGTTTTCCTCTCCATGCAACGCAAATGTGAGTTAGTTCCATTAAAAAGGCTTCTACGAATGCTAATTTCTACTCAATGCTTCATCAAGAAGTTCCCTTGTCTTCTGGATTGGATTTAAAATTATAAGACTACGGAGTTGGACATTAGTACTTGTAAATCCGAAAAATTGGGTCGGCTGTTCAACGACAGTTGTAAAATAAAATAAAGTTGGTTTGTAATGTGAACTCATAACTAAACAATCCTAATTGAACAATTGAATGAAAAATATTTTTCAAACTACGAACCAGATTTTATACCTATCCATACTATTCGTGAGGAAATCTACTAACATTGATGAATATGATATTTAAGTCGTGGTTGATCAGGTAATAAAGGGCTTGCGCCTGATTTAGACGGATTAGTTTCGAATCCGCGTATTAGCTGGCATCAGCTTTCACACTGTCGGCATAAGTTTCCCCTATTAAGACGAGTTAGCTCCAATGCTATTAACTAGGTGTTTCCTTGTCTTCAGGGTTCGAATTTACTAAAATATGTAATTGGATCTAAAATCCTCACATGCGCAAAATATTATGGATTGGTTGCATGATCAATGCTAATGACAAAATATATTTCTCTACCTACTGGTAGAAACTTATAAGAACTAGATTGAATATAATTATTTCGTTAAGGAACCGTTCATATATGATGTCACGCTTGGTGGAGAGGGGGGAAAGAATACTTAAAATTGTGAGAGTTAGCGACGAGGAGAGGGAGGAACCTAGTAGTGTGACATCATCACATATTTTGGTTAAAATTAAAATATTTTAAATCAGCGGGTTAAATATTTTTAGATAATTAGTTAATTATTTTTTTTTTTTGCACATTTCTCATCAAAATAAGTATATATCTAACCATCATTGTTATGCTCATTAATATCGTTAAAGCACATAATTAAAAATTAAATGTGTAATATAATATGTGTGATATCTCTGAACGGTTACTAAATATGTTATGTCATATTGGGTGACATGTGACTAGAGAGGTAAGGGAATATGAAGTGTGACACTTTGTTAAAAGGGGGAGGAGAGGGTCAAAAATATTAAAGAAGAGTGACACGACATCATTTTTGGACAGTTCCCTAATTAAAAATTATACATAAGTATGAGAACCAGTCATAATGCAGATCAGCACTCTTCATTTCTGTTTTCAAACAGTTGAACTTATTTTGTTCATTTAAATATAGCCTCTCACTATTTCTCATTCCTTCTTTCCAAATTCTAGAATACTTTTCTGTTGTTCATTATTCTTCTGGGGTCTAAGTTATTTAGCCCGTCCCCTTTGAAGAAAACCCGGCCATAAAGTGCAACGACCCTTGGTTCTTCACCCCAAAAAACGGGATGCCCCAACCTTACTCTCAGAAGATCCCCGACCCCCTTTAAAAAAGAACTTTTTTTTTTCTTCTCCATCCCACTCCAGATAGAATCTTTTTTGCGTCCGAGAAGTGAGGAGTTCTTTGCCCCTGGGTCCTTCTATATTTCCCACAAAACACTCCCCCGCTGATTTTTCTTCCATTCCTTCCCCCCCAAGACCACCCCAGTTTTGATCAAAATTGCGCAATAGGCATTGATCATCATCTATTGTTGATGGCACTGTTACGCAATGTTCTACTTTCTGCCTACCCAATCCCAGAAGCTCCTACCTGCCGATGTTGGCATATGTGACCATTTGGCCCGATAATGATATTTTTTCAAGGTTTATTCCCCCTTTTTTTATATCCTTTCCTGCCCAAGTAGTGTGTTTTATTGAATGTCACCGCATTTCCGAAAGTTGCGCCACTGAAAACTGTGCCAATGAATGTGCAATAACCCGAACCCATCATTCTGTAGAATTAATCCTTCACAAACGCGTCTGGGTGCCGGTCAACCCGTTGGCTACATACGCTGAAGACAGAAACACGTTTTCGCTTCCAGTGATTAGATGTCGCAGGGAATTCTGTTTGTTGATATGTTTGCGCATGTTGTTTGTGATTTTATAACTACTGTTGGAATATATTTGCTTTGAACATTAAAAGAATTAGAATTTTTGTTTTTGTTTTGTTCGAATAGAGTAAGTTATGAGTATTCGAATGAACATTGTTTATAGTTATCGAGTTGTAGTGCTGTAAATAGCACTTAGCTTTTCTTCATTTTCAAATTTGAAAAAACAAATTGAAGAACTTATATTTAGGTAAGTAGTTTTTCTTTTATATTGATAATTCAATTAATATTCTAGTAATATTTTAACAACAAACAAAATATATTTCTTTAAAAAAAAAATTTTTTTTTTTTTGGGGGGGGGGATTTAGTTTAAAGCATTATTTAACTTAGAATTTTATTTCGTTGATCTCAAATTATAATTTATCGATAAAGAAAATAGGCTTAACTTTTTAACGCAAAATTTTTTTATTCTAAAAATATTTTTATCGCAAACAAGTTATATTACAGTATTATTTATTTTTTAAATGATGAGAGTTTGGAATTTTTATTTAATGATAAAAAATATATTATTTACTCTTTAATTTTCGTAAATTTTGAAATTTGAGTTAGTCAATTAAAGGATTATACTCTATTCTTTATAAAAAATGCTCATGTTTTATGCTTCAAATTTAATTATAAATAAATAAATAATTTTAAAATTAATGTTGAAAAATGTCTTTCCGTTAACTAATGCGTGTGAAATTTTTTAATGAAAATAATTCAATCATACAGGCATTTTTAAAATTTCTTTTATAAAATAATAAACAAGGTATATTTTATTTTCATGTTTTTTTCGCATTTTGTCTTTTTAATTTAATGTTATGCGAACTAAATAATTATGTTAAACACTTTTTTTTTTAATTTTGGAAATTAGCTTTTCACTCTTTAATTTTAAAAATTAGCTCCTTCGCTTTGTAATTTTAAACAGTCAGAAAAGAAAAGATAAAAAAAAAATTGACTTCTTAATTACACACAAATGTTTTAAAAGTTTGAGAAAAAAAATTATAATAGAGGGGGAAAAGAGATTAAATATTTTTGTAGATATTTTATTAATTATGCGGAACTAGATATACTTATCATTGCATTCATTCAATAAAAGTGTTATTTTAGTGCAGATTATTTGTTAATTACAGCGGAATGAAGTGCAATTATCTCCTACCGATTAATTCAAGAAAAGCGTCACTGTTAATAATTGATTCCAGTTTTAATTTTTGTGATTCAGAAAATTAAGCATAATTTAATTGATTTGATAAAATTTTTTTCATGCTAATTGTGTTAAAAAATATAGTAATATATTTATTGTATAAATCTCAATTTTAAAAAAAATTGAATTTTTATCTTTTATTTAAATAAAATTTGACTTGCATTCTGAATAAATTAACTTTATTAATTTGTCGCACTTTTGATTAGTCAATTTTCTTAATTATTCTTTTTTATTTAAGTCAATTTCTCAATATCGTTTTATTTAATTAAGAGCAAGAGCTCATTATATTTAATATTCAAGCCTCTCGTTATTTGCAAATATTCTAAAAAGAACCAGGGGTTTTTTGACTTATGTAAGATTTATTTTTTATTCTTTGAGGTTTAAGTTTAGGTGATTAATTTAGATTTTTTTAGGAGATAATTAGAATCCATGATTTTTCAATTTTCATTGCCAAATACTCGTATATTGCATTTTTCGTATAAATAAAAATAAAGTATTTTAATCAAGTTTTTTTTTTTTTTTTTTTTTTTTTTTTTTTTTTTTTTTTTTTTNTTTTTTTTTTTTTTTTTTTAATTTTTTTTTTTAATGTTAAAATATTTTCTTTCGTTGAAAAAATTATTAAGTTTTTTTTTTTACTGTGTACCATTTTGTTATTAATATTTATTTTAAAAAATTTAAAAATATAAAATTAAATTAATAAAAATTGGTCTTGCTGGCTTTGATTTAAATGTATGTATATCATATTTATGTAAATGTGTAAACGATAAAATCATATTAAATGCAATCATAATCGATAACTACTGATTCAAATCCCACCTAATTTCTACTGTAGAACTTATGTAAAATTGTAATAAATACTAAAGACTCTATTTCTAAATATCTCGTCATAAAGGCCTCTAAGAACTATTTACTCTCATAAATGTGAACTGTTTCATATTTCTGAACTGCTCTGAACGATATTATTATAAATTACAATCAATTTAAAAAAACGAAAGTAGACTATTAAGATGCTCTACCTAAATTTTATTTTACCAGTCAAAATTAAATTTCAACTTTTGATATAAAAATAAAGAAGTCATTTTTCGTCATTGTTTATATCCAATAGTAATTAGTAGAGCCGTGGTGGCTAAGGAGATTGAGCGTTCTCCTTCCAATGAAGTGACCGGGTTCGAATCCCAGCCATGGCTAGTCGATACGGATTCCGCACTCGGCTCGCATTAACCAATGTGCTGACGTAAAATATCTTCTGTGGTAGGCGGATCAAGGGTTAAAGTCCCCTTGCTGTCAGACTAACTATGGGAGGCTTTCTTCACCATAAAACACAAATGCTGGTTAGTTCCCCAAAAAGTCCCCCACAAAGGCAATTTCCCCCCAATACTTGATTCAGCAATCCTCTTGTCTTCTGGATTAGGTTCAAAATTACAAGTCGACGGAGTTGAACATTGGTAGCTGTAAACTGAGAATTGGGTCGACTGTTCAAGGACGTTTATTAAAAAAATAGTAACTAATAATTATAATTTATAGTTATAACAGCGCTATATTGTTAGAAAAAATAGTTATAAATAATATTATGGAACTTCTAGATCTGCATAAATTTGAAACCAGATCATCCTCTAATAAAAAACTGAAAGTACATCACTTTTGTTGACATTTTTAAAACTAAATTTCATATTTCTTTTTTGTAAATCTAAAATACCGAACAAATTACTTCCACTAAAATTCAAGCTCTAGAATTCAATTCATATAGTTCTTTATATTATATAATTCAAACTTTATTAGTCATCAGAATTCAAATATTGTGTTTTCCCTATATATATAAAAAAAATTTAAATTGTACATATACCATTAAAATGCAACGAAAGTGAAATGGATAAATAATACAATAGTGTAATTAAAATGTTATTTTAAAATAAATGATTTGTGCTCAACAGTATACCTCTTATTTGTAATATCTTTAATAGTATCTAATTTTTATTAACAGTGAGAATTGTTATAGAGTTCAGCTTTAAAACGTAGAACTCGCATAATCATGTACGTATCTTCTGCGAATACTCTTAGAGAGGCATACGTACGTCAACGTGTGGAATACTACGTGTAAATGGTAAATGTCTCAAACTACTACATTAATCAAAGCTGTTAAGGCTAGCCGATGCTTCGTTATGAGAAAAACATATAAAAGTCATTTCTATGAATTTCTTTATTAAAAAAAATTATAAGTTATTTAAATTCTAGGAGCAATTAAATTCAAGCTTCTAGCATTTAAATGCTAGACGCAATTAATTTAAATGCTATTAAATGCTAGATTTAAATGTTATTAAATGCATGTTATTTAAATGGTAGAAGCAATTAAATAACGTTGAACTTTATTCTGGAGAAAAAAGTATTGAAGACTAATTTTTCTGCTGGCATTATTGTTTCTAAATTTATTTTAGTTTTGTTTGTTTCAAATTTAAAATTTACGAAATAATTTTTTTATTTTTATTAAGAACATTTCAATGAAAGGCTGCAGTTAGATAAAGTATTGTTTTTCACTTCGGCGCTAGTATTTGTTTCGGTTTAATTAAATCCTTCTGCATCTTATGCGATATTTATGTTTCCTATTTTAAAGACGAAAGTAAATACTTCTTATTAATTTGTATTAATTTAAGCGCGAGCTTTTTTTTTGTTTCTTTCTTTTTTTCCTTTATTTTTTCTTTTTTATTGCTAAATTAATTCCATTTTATTTTTATTTCGAACTTAGCTTTAACCACAACTGCAGATTTTTAAAAAAATAGATTTAAAGTGGTTTCCTTAAAAATTTATCCTTATTTTCACGATACCGTTTTAGAAACATTTTTTTCTAGAATATTTCTAATTCGAAGAATATATTTATTAAAATTTGAAATTAAATCTTTGCAAACTTTATTATCTTTTTCATAAGACAGTTTTGTGTGCATATCATGGACGTCGTTAAAGACTGTCTGTGAAGGCGCAGCGTTTTCAAAGTAATTTTAAATCACTGAAAATTATCTCCAACATGTAAGCTATAAGCAAATAAGCCATATTTTGATGAAAATAATTCGTAAAATTTTCTTTTTTTCCTCCTAAGAGAGTCATGAGTTAACTAATTGGTATTAATTTGTTCCATTTAAATTTGTTGCTAGATTCTAATCGAAGCATTTTAATTTTACTAACGTAGGATTCACGCGAGATGTAATTATATTATAAAAGACAACTTTTATTCTTTTGATTATTATAAAAAAATTTGATTTTCCTTTTATTAAATCATAAAGTATACAGCACTGTGTGTACAGTGCTATCGTATAATATACATTGAGGAAAGAGCTTGGTCAAAATTGCTAGAATGAAGTAAAATTTACCGTGTTTCTGTCTCTATGAGAACACCAAAATGTTCTGAAAATTTTACCTTTGTAATGATTTTGAAAAATTGAAAATAAAATATGGTTTTATAATGTGTAATTAAATTTGGTTAAATTTGTTATTTTTATCATGATACCTTAGTGCATGGCATAAAAAACCGTTTATTTGGTTAAATTTGATTTTCAGTTTTGTATTTTTTACTAAATGTGTGGTAATGAACTATAGTTTTCAAAACCATAATTTCCGGTAAAACATATGAACGGAAAAATTACCAAATGAATGGTTAAAATACCGTATATTTTGGATTTACTAACCAAAAATATACCTTTCTTTCATCAGAAATTTCATTACCAAGTAGTACGGTAATTTTTTTCTCCGTGCGGGTTTAGTAATTTTATATCGAATAAATGGTCTCAATGGTTTTGTTATCATATATACAATCCTGCACTTTATGTACCTAAATCGATTTCTCATTGTCAGTTTTGCATAAATATGGCTGAGTTCCGTTCAGAAATCAATTTTTTTATTTCGTAAGTTTTCAGTAACCGTCATTGAGCAGTCGACCCAATTTTTTGGGTTACGACTTTAGGTTTTGGGGATATTTGAGATTATATTAGTTGTATTAATTTTTAAAAAAAATTTAATTC